TTAATTTTCTCATTGGAATGTTTTTTAGTGAGAAAAGCATGGTCTTGTACCAAGTTATCACGAGCAACGTTAAGTTCCTCATGAGCCAATTTTAGCTCCTCATGTGAACAAGTAGTAATATAAAGTAGATGCTTTTGTTGTTCACATGTTTTCTTTAGAAAAGAGTTTTCATTTTTTAATTTCTTGGTTTTAGCCATCTCTTTTTCTAAAGCTTTGATCATGCAACCATATCTATCTAGACGCTCCTCATATGAATCAAGATTAATCACATTTGCATTAGATACCTTGGTGTCACCTTGTGACATGAAGCAATGTGATGTAGTTAGAGAGCTTGTAGAAACATCACTCTCATAACCGAGCATGATCCATCATCATCGCCATCAAGTATGCATGGAGTAGAATCATCAATTGCATCACTTGTGGCATCATCATCAACCTTGTCAAGTGAACTTGTGGTAAATCTTTCATCATCATCACTTGGCCATGAGGTGGAGCAATCTTTCACAATCATTGAATTGTGGCTATGCTCAACATCCTTATGTGCCTCCTTCTTAGGCTCATCATCATCATCATCATTGGAGTCCGTCCCATATTTCTTATTGAGATAACTCCAAATCTCATGGGCGGTTTTCATGTCAACGATCTCTCCAAATATGCAATCATCCAAAGAACTATACATGATGTTAGTAGCTTGGATGTCGAGATCTAGGCATTTCTCTTTTGCTTGAGTTAGATTATTTTTATCCAACACATGAGAAAAGCCTACATCTACCATCCACTATATTTGAGGGCAAATAAACTTAAAATTACATATCATCCAATTTTTCCACCGTGCAAAGTGTGTGCCATAAAAAATGTGTGGACAATCAACATCTAGGCCATAAGTCGCCATCCTCTCGGGTAGGTGAAGACCACAAATGAGAAACCTCGGCTCTGATACCACTTATAGGGTTGAGATGGCAGACTAGAGGGGGGAGTGAATAGTCCTTTCTAAAATTAATCGTGCCGGCTAACCGAAACAAATATAAAATTAAAACTATCGGTCTAGCCAAGACTACACCCCTCTATCTATGTTCTCAAGCACCTTAAAAAGATCCTAATTATGCAACTAAGGTGCCAGGCTAGCTAGAGCACACCTAAACAATTCTAGGAGCAAGGTCACATAAACCTATGCCACTAGTACTTCAAGCAATCGGTGAGCTCCTATACAATCTAGTAAGCAAAAGCACAAAGATCCTAAGCTCACTAGCAATGCTCAATAATAAGGCTACACAAGCCAAATTAGAGAGCTCAAATTACTTAGCTACTAAACTAAGCAATGTGACTAACAAGGCTACTCAAGCCATTTAGTCCAAGAGAGCAACTAATTTACTACCAAAGTAAATTAGCTACATAAGGGAGCTACTTCTAAGCTACACAAGCAAGAAGGTAACTAGCAAGCTACACAAGCTAACTAATTACATGAGCAATTACACAAGCACAATATATGAATATGTAAATACAAGCTTGTGTAAGGGGATTACAAACCAACGGGATGAACAAGGTTGACATGGTGATTTTTATCCCAAGGCTCACTTGGTTGCCACCAAGCTAGTTCTCGTTGTGATAAGTTCCAAGGTTGCACTAAGAGTAACAAGAACTCCCTAATCACAAAGATTTCCTAGTGCCACAAAATTCAAATCCCAAAATGCACACACTAGGTCTCTCAACCTCTCTCACAAATTAGCACTAAGCTTAGAGAGGGAGAAGAAGGGAGGAGGTGGATCTTCAATCTCTCTACCTTGCCCACATAGGGCACTCAATCTCTCATATGAATTTTTGCACCAACCATGGGAGAGAGGAGGAAGAAGAACCCTAGCTCAAAGGATCCCCAAATGTTGCAAATGAGCCAAAAAAGTGAATGGGAAAAGGGGGAGGCACCCCTTTAACTAGCAGCCCAGCCAACTCCCACCTAGGAATATCCAACCATGACTTGGATACTGGCTTGGATATTTTGGAGCATCCCCTCAGTCTAGACCATTGGGGAGCTCCCGCCTCAGAATATCCAAGCACGTTCCTCCAGATTCAAAATATCTAGGCGCATTTGTCCAGGTTCGGAATATCCAGGCGCATTCGTCCAGGTTCGGAATATCTAGGTGCGTTCGTCCAGGTTCAGAATATTCAAGCACGTTCGGAATATCCAAGTTGAAAATCGCAAACCAAACAGAGAAGGCTGGTCGGAAATTTCTTTGGATATTCAGACCCTCTCAGACATTCTGAGATAAGCTTGGAAATTACGAGGAACACAAAAACAACCCACCAAACTTCATTTTAAGGCCTTTTCAAATGTGCTCAACTCCACCAAGTGTTTCAACAAGTCAAGTGTGTGAGTTAGCATTTCTAAATCATTTTGAAAGGCTTTTCTCTTGCACCTCACCACGTCACTAAGCGCAATGCATATGCAATTGAGACTCACACTTAGTGGCACTAGATAACCGTTGCAACTAAAAGATTTCTCCTCTTTATAGTACGGCTATCTATCTAAATCTAGTCAAGCACTTCTCTACTCAACTTAGACCGGTGAAATGAAGTACCCTATAGGTTATACCTTTACCTTGCGCATTCCATTCTATCTCCTTCAATGTTGATGCAACACATGCACCAACCAATCACAAATGATATGATCCACTTCATATCATCACGTGACCTTATTGGTTCATCAATCTTGACTTTACTTGCTCTTCACAGTTGCTTCGGTCCATTGGTGCCAAGTCATCACTCAATTTGCCCTTCACACTTGCAACCAGTCCATCAAGCCAAGTTTTGTCTTGATCTTCTCTACCTTAGTCACATGACTCAATGTCATGTCTCATATGCAATGAGCTCCTTCATCATATGTGTGAGCTTGAAAACAAATCCAAGCTATCTTCACCGTCATGGCATGAGTTGCTCACACAAGTGTACCTGTGGACTAATCACCTATGTATCTCACTTTTAAACACATTAGTCCATCAAGGTTATCACTCAATTATTAAAACCAAATAAGGACCTTTCACCAACCCAACTTAAAGTTAACATGTTCCTACCCAACAATACAGTGTAACAAAAAATAATCTAAATAAACATATCATATGTATTGGTGAACAACGTTTTCCTAAACGCTACACAGTAAATAGTCTATCACCTACTGTTTAGTCGTTATTAGGGATAAACTTAAAATTAAACACATGTGCTCTGGTTTCTAATCAGAGAGACCTGAACCCTGTAAAAGCAACACCACCACATCTCCTGCCTGCAAATTGAAAAACACAAGGGGTTTCACAAACCGATCAATGATGAAACTATTCGATGACAAAATATAATCTAAGCAAAAACATACCCCAACCTTTACATTGTCACAATACTCGCGAATGCATAAGGCTGATACTCATTACTCTCTCAGTTCCAAATTTTAAGTTGTTTTAGTTTTATCCTACGTAAAATTTCTCTAACTTTGATGAAGTTTATAAACGAATATGTTAACATTCACTATACCAAATAAATGTATTATCAATGCATATTTCAAGCTTGATTTAATGAAACTACTTTGACACTCTAGGTGTTGATCAATTCTTATATAAACTTGGTCATTCCTACACCCATTAACATATATTGTTAGAATTTAAGTGTAGTCAATGTAGCCATGAACCAAACATGTGTGTAAGGTTATCAAGAGGATGTAAACCAGAAGTATTATATATACACAATACTCCAAAGGAAACCTAGCACCATGATAATTGAAGAAAAGATGTTCAATCTTGTCTCAACCTTCATTGTAGAAACATCATTTCTTACTATCTTGCCATCTTTGCTTGATCAAATTATCTTTAGTGAGGATGACTCCTTTGTATTAAAATCATACTAAAATTATTAACCTTAATGACATTTTAGTATCCATGGATACCAGACGACTCGATGTAAAAATCATTATCAAGAAAATTCTTATAGTTAGGCTGCACAAGCAAAATATCATTCTTGGTTAAAGTCATTCGAAATGTTGCAAAATACCTTACAAGGGACAAATTAAGCTAAAGGTGATTTCCCTAAAGAAATACAACACAATGGCAATTCATAAAAGGATGCCAAATTATCTCATCATTATTGGAGAAACATCTTACCCCCGTAGTCCTTGCCACTTCGATCAATCAAGTTATCTTTAGCGAGAACGAATCCTTTGTATAAAAATCATAGGAAAACATTCACTTTCAATGGCACTTTTAATATCCATATACCAGGTGACCTAATGTAAATCATTTCCAAGCAATTTTTTATACTAAGTTGCATTGAGCAAATACCATTCCTAGTTAAAATCCATTTGAAATGATGCAAAAAAAAATGCTCAACCAGCTAACTTTAGGATTGCACATGAGTAAATAAAACAGTACAAAAAAGGGTCGATGGGCAAACTTTGCAGCCCAACCCAATGGTCCATGGGCTCGACATCGCTCATCCCGAACTTAGCAAAACATAGCGGGCCTGAATCCGTTCTCTTTCCTAGTGATGATGTGACGTGTCTTTATTGAGCGTGAGTTTAGTTCCAAAAACTTTTCTCAAAAAGTGCTATAGTACTTATCACATCGAATCTTACGATACGTGCATGAAGCATTAAATGTAGGCGAAAAAAAAGACTAATTGCACAGTTTGGTTGAAAATTACGAGACGAACGTTTTAAGTCTAATTAGTCTATAATTAAATACTAATTACCAAATAAAAATAAAAGTACTGTGGTACCCGAATTCCAACTTCGTCTCCAACTAAACAATGGCTGAAAACTCCAGATCTGCGCAGCGCAACACCCTGCTGCGTGCTCCATAAACAAAGGCAAAGCGCTCCATCATCCTAGCCAGCGCACCGAAAAAGTAAAAAAAAGTCACTCGTCAGTCGGAAGAGATGGGGCCCTCCCTCTGGCGTCCGCCATCGCCACTCGTCGCTTTCCTCGCTCGCACACCCGTGACCCGTCCCGATTCCATTTTCAAATGGCGATGGCGATGATGACTATGCGACGCGCGGTGGCGCTCGGTGCCCGCCACATCCCCGCCGCCGCAACCGCTTCCTCCCGCGTCGTCCCCCTCCGCCACGTACGCTCCCCCCCTCTCACCTTATCAACCCATCCTCCTCTTCGCCGCTTCACACCACACCCCTCGCCCTCCCGTCGCCGTGTCAATGTGCGGTGCCTTCGTTCGCATGTTGGTTGCAGGTTTGATATATTTTGGGTGTGCAGATGAGCGCGGACGCGGGCGCCGCGATGGAGAAGATCCGCGCCGCCGGGCTGCTCAGGACGCAGGGGCTCATCGCTGGGAAGTGGGTGGACGCCTACGACGGAAAGACCATCGAGGTGCGCGTCACTTTCCCGGATTAATTCCGCTTCGCAGGCATGTGCTCTTCCCGTTTCGTCGGAAATCACCTGGAATGCGGTGGGTTGGTTGGCTCCTCTCCTGTGGCGGCTTGACGGTTGACTCTGCGATGATTGTGGATCGGTGCTGAGATAGTTAATTCGAGTGCAATTCCTTGTGGATAGCTTACACATCATTTATTTCCTGCAGGTGCAAAATCCAGCAACCGGCGAGGTCCTTGCAAACGTGCCCTGTATGGGCAGCAGAGAAACATCTGATGCTATTGCTTCTGCTCACAGTACATTCTATTGTAAGTCAAATGTTTCAGTGTATTCGATTTTTATGCTTTAATACCTGGATTATATTGTGTTCCAGAACAGAACTGTTGCTGTCAAAGTGTTATAAGGTTCTAACAGGACAGTTACTTAAACACTGTAAATTAATATGCGGCTATTTCTGAAGATAATGTCCAGGCTTTGTGTGAATAGTATTAACCTCTCTTTTATTTCAGTTCTTGTTTGTACTGTAACTCAGATAACCCTGGTCTTGTAAGAAAATAAAGTGTTCCTGGTGTCATATGCGGCCCAAATCTCCGAACTTAACAATGTCTATATCTTGTTTATATATCTCGGAAATTCTTAGATGTTCTGTTGCTTTGAAATTCCTTAACTAATGGCAATTTCATACCTAGAACTAGCATATAAGAAAACTGCAACTGGATATCATTGTAAATTCTTCTTTTGATTCAAACACTTGTTTTATTTTGGAAAAACCACTAAAAACTGGAAGATGGGGACAGTGATGACTGATGACCTATAATACAACAACAACAACAACAACAACAAGCCTTTCAGTCCCAAGCAAGTTGGGGTAGGCTAGAGTTGAAACCCACCAAGAGCCCCAAGTCACGGTTCAAGCACTTCAATAGCTGCTTTCCAAGTACTCCTATTCAAACATAGATCTCTAGATATATCCCAAGCTTTTAAATCTCTTTTTATTGCCTCCCTCCATGTCAATTTCGGTCTTCCTCTACCTCTCCTCATATTATTAGCTTGGCTTAGGACTCCACAATGCACTGGTGCCTCTGGAGGTCTCCTTTAGACATGGCCAAACCACCTCAACCGATGTTGGACAAGCTTTTCTTCAATTGGTGCTACCTCTAGGCGATCACATATATCATCGTTCCGAACTTGGTCCATTCTTGTGTGACCGCAAATCCATCGCAACATACGCATTTCTGCAACACTCAGTTGTTGAACACGTCGAATCTTTGTAGACCAACATTCTGCTCCATACAACATAGCCGATCTAATCGCCGTTCTATAGAACTTGCCTTTTAGCTTTTGTGATACCCTCTTATCACAGAGAATGCCAGAAGTTTGTCGCCACTTGATCCACCCTGCTTTGATTCTATGGCTAACGTCCGCATTAATATCTCCATCCCTCTGTAGCATCGATTCCAGATACCGAAATGTATCATTCTTAGGCACTACTTACCTTCCAAACTCACATCTCCCTCCTCTTGTACAACACTGATGACCTATAATATATCCCAATTTTTAGATGCAACTTAGGGCAGCTCCAGTGTCACATGTGAACCGAGGGGCAGACTTCCATTTGCTTGTCCAGAGTTCGAGAGCCACAGTGTAAACATCGATTACCTTGGGCCCCACACTGAATAAGAAATACTACTTTAACTCAGCGAACCTTGCTCCTGGCCTACTCTCTCTGCTGCTAGTACACGCTCAACTGTTTTTTGCAATATTCTATATGCCAGAGTTCGAACCATACTTGGAGTTCGACTTTAGAATCTGACAGCCAGAGTTCGGATGCTGTAGTGTGCATGGTTCGTTTTTCTTGCCCACGGTTTGATTTTACACACACACTGGAGGTGCTCTTAAACTAGTAGGAAAACTAAAAAGTCCATACCACAAGTAAAATCTAGTTACAGTAAGGATAAAGCTGGGAAACTTTCTCTGTTTCTGTTTTTCCTTATCTGGACCACTTTTGGTTATAGTTTTTATGTAGCTTTTAGTACTCATAGCCACATTTTCCCATGAAGAATAGGTCTGCATGAAGTCAGTTCTTTGCAATTGCCATTTCCCTTTATGGATACTCTTATGCCAAAGCAAGAGTAATTCATATGTAAAATCCAGTTCTTTGCAATTTCCATTTCCCTCTATGGAAACTCTTATACCAAAGCAAGAGTAATTCATATGAATATTTGGGTTTCTTTTATTGTAGCTGCTTCTTATCTCTAACTTTCCTGCTTGTATGTTCTAAATCCTTTCCTTCTCGCAGCTTGGAGTAAACTCACTGCAAGTGAGAGGAGCAAGGCACTAAGAAAATGGTAGTTTATATGGAAACGAGTGCTATGTAAAATTTGTTTTTTATGATTGAGTAAATTGCATTGTGGGTAAAAAAATTTGCGCCGTGGGTGCAATCTAGTCACAGAACTTCAAAATGACACAAATTTATCACTGATATCATTTGAGTGTGTAATTGGGTCATTAGCTGAGCCATCTGGGACGTTCTAGTCCATGTGACATTGACAGGGCTAAAAGCATGACAGTAGATGGCCTAGGGTTCATTTACCCAACTGTGGTCTGCACATTTTGTGGAAAAGGGCAAAGAAAATGTGCACCAATTGCACCACCTAAACTATCGATCTCGGTGTTGGATTTTTGCTTGTCCAATGGTACTAATCTAGAATAGCTAGACGAGGACAATTAGGCAGGGATGCATGCACATGTCTAGGAAGGGATGCATGGCGTGGCCCATGCCAGTAGGGTGGCACCTCAGCATATGTTGGCTGACGGCAATGAAGCGGCTCAGCAACAGAAGTGTGTGGATGATCAACGGCCACCTCACACGCGCTCTAGTTGAAAAGAGAGGCAGAGCAAAAGCAGATGTCATGCATCATGGATACTGCAGTTCTTGACTGCAACCGAGTTAGCTGTGCATGTGTTTCCACACCATGTTGGTGTTCAGTCATGTGTATGTGTTGCCACAGGTTGTGTGGTCGTAATCCAATTGCACCCTCAAAACAAGATTACTGACTAGATTAGTTCTATGACTAGATTGCAACCACCATACAAGTTTTGGTACCTATAATGTGTTTTACTCTATGGTTTATAGCATTCACTTCTGTGTTATTGCTTGAATATTCCTTCTCACTAAGTATATTCATCAAGGTACGATCTAATTATTTCACACAAGGAAGAGCTTGCACTTCTCATGACACTGGAGCAGGGGAAACCTATGAAAGAAGCCCTGGGTGAGGTATTTGATCTATATCATCCACTGATGTTAGTCGGTGCTTGTGATTTTGAGGTTCTTTTGAGGCCTCATTGGTTGCTACTCCTCTGTTCAGGTCAATTATGGTGCAAGTTTCATAGAATATTTTGCAGAGGAAGCAAAGCGTATATATGGTGATATCATTCCCCCAACTTTATCTGATCGCAGATTGTTGGTTCTGAAGCAGGCACTATGCTGATACTTTTTCCTTTGTTACTTTGTTGCTGATAACTCTCACTCTTCTACCACTCATTTTATTAGCTTGATGTATATTTTGTTTACGATATTTCATCATCACTTTACCTTGAATCCTAAAAAACTCGGCCGGTGGGGGAAAGACCGCCACCACGGTATTTTACTAAGAAGAGCTCAACCGAAGCTTGGCCAGGAAAGGTCACGACTCACGAAAGCTGGCCCCCCTCATACATGGAGATGCTGCCCCCTATGGTTAGGGCCTTAACCCGTGCTTTGAGGCCCAACCCACTACCAGCCCCTTACACAAGAGTCCTCCCACCACAGGTCGTTTCAATCCATGCCAACCAGGGTAACCAGCAAGTGACCTTTTTTTACCTAGCCTGAAATTCATTCCCACGAAGATTCAAACCTAGGACCTGGGGTGCTACTAATGTCACTGTAACCACTAGGCTATAGGCCCCTTCACTATACCTTGGCTAGCTGATACATTGGTTTGACAGAGTGATATTGTCATGATCAGCACAAGAAAAAAATCTAGTATTAACAAAAAATAATATCGATTGCTTACAGTAGCCCTTTTTATTGTACTCTGCTCTCCTATACCAATTTATTGAATGGCAGTACTCCTGCCAGTTCTTTATCTTTTTTAAATTTTTTCAAAGGATTTGCCACGTAGCCAAATACTCGGTCTGGAGTTGGTGATGCCATATTCTAGAAGATAATATGCCCTTTTATGAAGTATGTGTAGACACATGATCTCTTTGCAACTGGACTTAAAATGTTCTTTTGGCTAACTGCTTGCCAAAGGGCAAAATACAGTTTCACTTCCATACGATGTATTGGGAACTATGGATATTTTTAAACAATATGTGTCTTTAACATTTGCACTTAGTTTAGCAGGTCCATATGTGGAAGGAGTTAATTGTGAATGCAATTGCCACTTTCATTTTGTTGAGCAAAGTAATATAGTTTGATTATCGTACACATTCTTTAATGAACTGTGACTCCAATTTACCAGTTCAATTTCTTGACCTGGTGTGCTGAATTCTGAACATGTGTTGTTCTTTTTTATCTTTCTTTTGAGGATGTATTACCATGTGCCATGTGGAGATTTACACACCATCTATCTCAATGTTCCTCTCTTTTTTTTTGTTTGCACTGCAGCCTGTTGGGGTAGTTGGAGCTATTACACCATGGAATTTTCCATTAGCAATGATAACCCGAAAGGTCTCTAGCAATGCAGTACACTTGTCCATTGGTTAAGTTAAGAAAGGAAATGATAAGTCAATAACTAAGGCAGTACATTTTTGCATATATGGTTGGGCAGGTTGGACCAGCTTTGGCCTGTGGCTGCACTGTTGTTGTCAAGCCATCAGAGTTCACACCTCTGACAGCATTAGCTGCAGCAGATCTTGCTCTTCAAGCGGGAATACCAGCGGTAATCATCTCGAGTTCTCTATCATTCCCATCTAATTTGAGTATTTATTTCGTCAAAAGTTACTAATTATATGGTACAACCAAAGAAATTGGTGACCTTTCATGTAAAGTATGGAATTACATACTGAATCTAAATGCTCTACCATTGTTTTGAGGAGAAAATCATCACACCAATTCACCAAACTTGATGCAATTAATTATAGCTGCAATCCTACAATTGTAGGGGGACAGGGAATCATATTTTGCAATCCATTGATACTTGATACAAATCTTTTACTTGAAACTGCAAAAAAGTTCTCCTCTATTGATTATCTGAATGATTTTGTTCTGTGGGTGTTTCTTTGTCATCAATTTAACCTGTCTTGAACTTATTATATAATTCAGGGTGCACTAAATGTTGTGATGGGTAATGCTCCTGAGATAGGTGATGCATTACTGCAGAGTACACAGGTTTTATTTCCTCCCATCTTGTCTTGCATCTGCAATTTTCTTTGTCTTTATAATATGTCAAGTAGGAATACTTGTGGTTGACACTATAATATAACTTTTGGTTAGGTCAGAAAGATTACATTCACTGGATCAACAGCTGTTGGCAAAAAACTGATGGCTGGATCTGCAAATACTGTGAAAAAGGTATAGTGAAAAGTTCCTTAATGAAAGTTTCTTATGCAATGTTTATAGCTATCTTCCTGTAAAAAACATGATTACCACACATGTCTAACTTCCCTTTTCATGATGAAATCATACTATGACTATCCTTTTGTTTAATAACCTGTAAGAAATCTGAGCAGAGGGTTTGTATAAACAGTGATAATCATCTAATTACCACCAGGTTTTATCCAGACTGCCCTTATTACCCTTCTTTTCTTCTTTGGTTGGTTCAGGTCCTGAATACCCTTGAATGTCTACTTTACTTACTGTTTCATGTACATGTACCAATCATCAAATCTTGAAAAAAAGGGATAAATCCACTTTTAATCATAAGTCAGCCAAGAAACATCAGCTTTCTGGAAGCCTTCTGGTGCGTGGTGGTGGTTTTGTGCCAGCTGGTGCTCAAATCATTCTTTCAGTTAGCATACTAGATTCCTAATAGTGTTTTAGGGACTGCTTTCAAAATTTTCTTTTAGATCTTATGAAACAGAGTTTTAATTTCTTAATAAGAAACTTAATTGCTGTTTGACAGCTATTGATATTGTTGCATACCAATAATGTGTTGCTCTGATGTATTCTACTTTTTGGACTATTGGTCATAACATATTAGGGCCTGTTTGGACACGGAGGATTGCTCTAGGAAACTATAATTTTTTTCTTTTAAACTTGAACTTAATCCCTCCATCGCAGAAAGGATGCAATTCTCACATTCTGAGGACAAATTAATGGACAACAAAAATGACGCATGTACCCCTACTCTTTTCATCATTCCTATGTGTTGGTTGGACCAAGGCAAATATGGCATCCATACTTGATTGCCATAATGTATCTACATAGCATTCTTTTCGGGACAACATTTGAATGCTAGAATTGCATTCTTTTTTGGATGGAGGGAGTATACCTAAATTTTTCACTCAGTGGACAAGTGTTTCGTTTTTTGAACATGGTCTTAGTTTTGAAGGTTTGCATGCTCTGTCATTTCAGTCTGAGACCTTCTAATGATGATGCTCACAAAAAATAATTATTTTCTAGGTCTCCTTGGAACTCGGTGGGAATGCACCTTGCATTGTTTTCGATGATGCAGACATTGATGTTGCTGTTAAAGGCAGTGTAAGACTCACTTTTACATCTATCTTATTTGTTTCTTTACTAGCATATAAACAAATAAAATCATCTCTAGTTCCCTTGGTGGATGAGGGTGACATAGCTGTCAAGAATCTGTAAATAATCAACAACAACAGCAACAAAGCCTTAAGTCCCAAACAAGTTGGGGTAGGCTAGAGTTGAAACCCAGCGGAAGCAATCAAGGTTCAGGCACGTGAATAGCTGTTTTCCAAGCACTCCTATCTAAGGCTAAGTTTTTGGGTATATTCCATCCTTTCAAGTCTCCTTTTATTGCCTCTACCCAAGTCAACTTCGGTCTTCCTCTGCCTCTCTTCACGTTACTATCCTGGCTTAGGATTCCACTACGCACTGGTGCCTCTGGAGGTCTCCGTTGGATATGTCCAAACCATCTCAACCGGTGTTGGATAAGTTTTTCTTCAATTGGTGCTACCCCTAATCTACCACGTATATCATCGTTCCGAACTCGATCCCTTCTTGTATGACCGCAAATCCAACGCAACATACGCATTTCCGCGACACTTATCTGTTGAACATGTCGTCTTTTCGTAGGCCAACATTCTGCACCATACAACATAGCAGGTCTAATCGCCGTCCTATAAAACTTGCCTTTTAGCTTCTGTGGTACCCTTTTGTCACATAGGACACCAGATGCTTGACGCCACTTCATCCACCCTGCTTGAATTTGTAAATAATCTCTTAAATAAATTACCAAGATCTATTATTTTCATTCCTTTGTGGTTTTGGTGTGCAAAATAGGAAACATGCCATGTTGTTTACATTTCCCAATTTAGGTCAATGAATGCATTAAGATTATTTGGATTTTGAATTTCTTGTTTTCTGAGCAGCAAGTGAGATAAAAAAAGACGCACCCTTAATCTCCTGTCCCAAGTCCCAATTTAGGTTTTTGCAAAAAATCAGTGAAATACGTATTTACGTCTCAAGGGTCAGTATCTACAGGATGCAGCTTTCTGCCTGGTATATTGCTTACTGTGTATGGTAGACACTGTTTTGTTTTTATCAACTGCTACCTGCTCCAGGCAGAATTTTATAAATATTGTTGGTCAATTTTTTAAAGGCTTGACATATTTGTGATTAGAGGAAGTACAATTTTTTAATCCTGTCTACACTTGCATGAAAAAGGATGTGCATTTTTTGGAGAAAATTCCTTGCTTGCCATTGGCATAAACCTATATTCCCCATGCCACCTAGAAAATATGATTCCTATATATGCCATTGGTATAAATTTGTAATCCTTTCCATGCCAAAGCCATGGTCATTGCCTTAGTTAGGGAACTTTCCAGATACCGGTATTGCCCATGTCAGCCATCCCCAAATCGTGGAGGTGGTCAACGAAGAGGGAATGAGTGGCTCGGCGAACGGCGAGGAAGGAGGTGGCGGCGGCGGCAATGGATCTCTGATCAGGAAGGGGCGGTATGGGTTGCTCGGCGCGTTGGCTATATGGGTTGCTCGGTGCGTGGGTGGTCTGGGCTGTGCGGTCGCTGGCTGCACTTGTGCTATTGCTTGGCTGCGAGTGTGGCAGCAATTGTGGAGGGTAAGCATGCTGTACACTCATTAGATATCCTCGGTTTCTCATCTAGGCATTGTTTGGATAAACTCAATCCCTCCCAATCCATATGGATTGGACTGGATAATGAACAGATTTTCCACCTCAATCCCTTAAATACATATAGATTGAAGGGGATTGCTATGTTTCCAAACAAGCTCCTAATGTGCACACTTGGGTTCAGTTGTTGTTTATGAAGGCAGATTAGAGAGGTCGCTACGGTTTGGGATGCTAATCCAGATGTTGGATTCTTGGATTACCTGGTCTAGGGCATAAAAGGGATCTTGTGCCCAACTAAGAGGATGGGCAAACTGGTTATTTTGACATGTAAGTTAGCTAAGACTATCGAAATACTGTCAACAGTGGCGTGAAAGAGATTAAAATTTATGGATAGTGGCATTGACAGGATATAGGTTTTTTTGGTGGCAGATCAAGGATAAGAGTTTTAGTTGGCATATAGAAAAAATTTCCTTTTTTTCTTTCTTAAAGAGCAGATAGAACCCAAACTTCAACTGTTGAATCCAGGAGGAGCAAAGGACCATGTCAGAGTTCAGATCCATCAGAAAACAGCATGTCCGCATAGCTTTTCTGAGACTAATAAAAGCTAAAACAGCTAACAGCTACAAGCAACACATGCATTCCACTTTTAGATGAAGTAACTACCCATAAGACAAGAAACATAGTCATTTTTTGCTTGAGAAAGTTTAAATGAGGTTCATTTGAGATATAATACTTGCATTCCCTTGCATTTTAATGTGATCAATATTCACCAAGTCCATATGTGTGCAGCTTGCTGCCAAGTTCCGTAACAGTGGACAGACATGTGTTTGCGCAAACAGGATATTGGTGCAAGAAGGTATATTGATCATATATGTGATTTGAATGTTACTGAGGCCTCGTTTGATCCATCAAAAAGTTTTATGTTGTCTATAGGTATCTATGAAAAGTTTGCAACTGCATTCATCAAGGCTGTTCAGAGTTTGAAGGTTGGTAACGGGCTAGAAGAGAGTACATCTCAGGTATAGAATTCTAACAACTACCATTATCACCATGATAAATAACCTAGTACCATTTCCAGCTTTGTGTTTCTAGCGTTCATTGCATAAACAGTGTTTTACATTCAATGTTTATGAGCTGTTTAACACCTAATATTAGTATATTACAGTACTTATCAACTACCATTCACATTCTTCAGTTGCCATGCGCTTTTTCTGATGTGCTGTGCTCTCTATTTTGTTTACCTAGTAAAATATTTCTTTAGCATCTTGCATCTATATACCCTTGACTTAGGAGTTCCAGTTCCTTTCATATGCAGGGTCCTCTGATTAACGAAGCTGCTGTTCAAAAGGTGCATACTTTGGCCACTAACTCGTCCCAACTACTTAGTCTCCCGCCCTCCCTCCTTCCTCCCTAAAGTGAGCAATTACTCATGCTTTATTTGTTGGCCTATTTTTTCCCCTCTAGGTGGAGAAGTTTATAAACGACGCTACTTCAAAGGTAATCTCAAATCATAACAAGGGTGTGTGCATTTTCCCTTCAAAACTGGGAGGGTTCACAAAAGAAAAAAAGGAACTGGACTGATTCCTGCCCCCAGGCCCTGTTGGTTTATCTGCACTCAGGACAGACAAGTTTCTTGAATTTCTTTTGGCTGAAATCAGATCAAGCCGAATTGGTTAATATGTGGGTTGAAGTTGGAACATCTGATTCTTGCTTACTTCATTGAGAACTGAAACATGTTTTTTGGGTGTTTTATTGCCTCTCTTTGAAATGCATGTGAAGTACCCTCTCCAATCTTTTTGTAGGGAGCAAATGTCATGCTAGGTGGTAAAAGACACAGCCTGGGGATGTCATTTTATGAGCCAACTGTAGTAGGGAATGTCAGCAATGATATGCTTCTTTTCAGGTAAAGTTTACAGTTGGACCTTCCAACCTTAGCAATTTCGATCAAAACCTTGTTGTAGTGCATAGATTCTACTTTCATGTGCGAGTAAATGGTCTAATATTGAGCAACTGTCTGACACTTCAAAGTTGTTAACATCTTTTTCATTTCAGAGAAGAAGTTTTTGGTCCAGTTGCACCCCTTATACCATTCAAAACTGAGGAAGAAGCAGTCCATATGGCCAACGATACAAACGCAGGTTCATTAACAATATGCACCAATTATTTAATACTCTTGAACAAACTAGATGCTAGCATAATTTGCACGATATGCTTAGTAACATCGGTTTATTTATTGTCCATAGAAGCTGTAATATGCAATATAGCAATTTTCTCTTCTTGATGTTAAGACCCAGAATAACTTAAATGTTCTTTATTATACAGCAGTATCTTTGGATGTCTTAAAACTGAACTATGCCGAGAACTGTGTTCATACCGCTAACAATGGAAGATGTGGATCATTGTCTACAAAGTAGACATCTCAATTGTCATGTCTGATCTCAAGCATTTCCCCATTGTGCTGGATCTGCAGGCTTAGCTGCATACATATTTACCAAGAGCATACCTCGTTCATGGCGTGTATCTGAATCTCTTGAATACGGCTTAGTTGGGGTAAACGAGGGAATTATTTCAACAGAGGTAAGAAACAGCCAATGATACTCCCCCTTTTCTAAAATACAGGGCGTTTTAGTTTTGTCCTAAGTCAAAACTTCTCTAACTTTGACCAATTTTATAGAAAAATATATTAACATCTACAATACCAAATAAGCGCACTATCAAGACATTCCATGGTGGATTTAATGAAACTAATATTATGTTTCAGATGTCTGTACAATTTTAAAGTAAAGTTAGAGAAGTTTGACATCGGGCAAAAAAAAAATGACATACATTTTTGAATGGTTGTAGTATACAATAGACTACTTTGTGGTTAGTACATCAATATTAATCTGCCTTAAAATGTTCAGGTGGCACCATTCGGTGGAGTAAAGCAATCTGGTCTAGGGAGAGAAGGATCGAAGTATGGCATCGACGAATACTTGGAGGTTGGTAAACTCACAGGTCTTATTTGTTGTTACTTCTGCAGTGTTGCTGCAACTCTGACATGTCTGTACTCGGGCAACTGCAGCTCAAGTACATCTGCATGGGCAACTTGGGTTGAGTCCTGAAATCGGCCTCTGGCTAGAAACGCTTGGTAGATGATGAACCGAGAAACCAAGTAGGCAGGCGTGCTTAGAAGGGTGTGAGTTGCGTTTAGCTGCAAGATCGGAGATGGTAAAGGGACCGGCCACTGGTTGTGGGTGAGCAGTTTTAGAATAAAGCGAATAAGTCGCGGAGCCTTGAATAAAAGAAGTGGAAATGAGTTGTAAATGACGTGAACTATAAAGTTGGCTTCGCCTTCGAACTTTTGTATACATAATCATGGCACTTGTCTATAGTGTCTCCAAAGACGTTCATGTTATACAGAATAAAAGCATGTAGGGCGGATAGACTGTGTCAGATGCTACGTTACAGGCTGTCGGTGGTATGTACACAGACCTCGCCTGGTTCCTGAAGAAAGGTGGATCCTGCATTCCTGCCTTCAGGGGTAATATGGTTGTCTCGTGGCTGCGCCGATCTTTCAACCAGGCTGGTATATAATAGAATGTTACCATAGTTACCAGATTCATCATAGAACCCAAATCAGTGGGGAATTAGATGGGAACAATGTGTGCTGGAGGTAACTTTGTAGTATTTGCTGCTTAACATTGGTACTGCCATGTTACAATCGCCATCAATTATCATCTGGTGACGCCATAAGGTTCTGGGGATGGGCATAGTATGTCTCTTCTTAGTTCTCACAAATATTTGTCCAGGGCTCGCATGTGTTTTTGTTTATCAGTTCCTTTTTTTTTTGTCTCTTGTTTTTGAGTCGCTCTCTTGAGCATTTGGGTGAACATTTAGACGTACCTTTTTTTTTTTTTTTTATTAATCCTGAGGATATCGATGGAGATATTCCTAGTATATAAGATTCCATGGTCGCTTCACTTCATCTCTCACTTGAATCTTTTGTTTGCTACTGCTGCTCCCAAACTGGAGTAAAAGCAAACAGTGAAACAGGAGCCAGATCTCACGTCCTGTGTCTTTGGCGCTCCCCGAGGAGAGACCGACCTACGGTAGAGAGTCAGGCAGCCCCAGCCCCTGGGCAGGCATGCAGTGCTCTCTGTCTCTGTCTGGGCCACCACCCATGCAACATGCAAGCCGTAGGCTGTCAGTGTAGCTACTGGCAAACCGTATGATATACGCTGCAGGAAAGAATAAACGAAGCTTCTCTTGTATCCCCGCCGGCCCCGGCGGCTCCAGTCCAAAGGCTGCCTGTCCCTCTCCCTCGCCCCGGGGGATCCACCGGCAGCGCAGAATCCAATAAGGCCAGGCAGCAGCAGGGGCAGGCAATCAAGGTTGCTTTGATGCGCCCCAAGATGATTTGCCTCGGTTACAGTGCTCTGCTCTACCCGGCCCGTAGGCCGTAAGCCGGTAGCAGTACTACTCCAAGTTCAAAGCAAGCAGAAGCTTCCTCGAAATCGCTGCACGTATCTGCCTGTCTGGTGTCTGCTTACTGCTGCTACGCCTTCTTCGTTCCCATGCACCAAGACTAGTGCCACAGTGGACACGAATATCCAGCCTGTTCGTTTCGGCTGAATTGGCTTATAAACCATGGCTGAAAGTACTGCTGACTGGTTTGATGTGAGAGAAAAACATTGTTCAAGCCATGGATTATAAGCCAGGTACGAGCGAATAAGCCGAAACGAACAGGCTGATCAGTGCGAATCTTATGATCCACAGCAGCAGTAGAGCATGTGTCTTTAGGGGCAAAATTTACTTTACTGTATACTACTCTGTACTCTATCAGGCTGGTGTACCACTGCACTCTTTTCATCCTTTGTTTTTTCACTGCACCAAGGACCGTGGAGGAGGAAAGAGGCAAAAGCTTAGCCAATTCTGTGAGAAACCTCTACGTTGTTAGAGAAGAAAAGGAATGATATCTCTAAGGGGCCGTTTGAATCCCTTCATTTCGGAGGAATTAAAATCTACTTAATAGATTAGACTATTTGGCTGGAAATTTGACATCCCATAACTTTTCCAAGCTCACAAATAAGCCTATCTCAAATTCATAGGGTGGGAGATGAAAATGGATTCTATAGATCACTATGCTATAATTCTACTCTTCAATTTATAGCACACTTTTCAACTCACTTCCCTACAATAGAAATGCAACATATAAGTATATCCCTTGTATGCCTAACAATAAATATACAAATATATTCCATATACAACTATATTAGCTTAATTAATCTATGTCTAAATTATAATTATTAGAATGAATTCAATTCCAAGGATCCAAACGGTCCCTAATAAGCAGATGTAGGAACCGAGACTAGCAAGCATACACTCTTCGGTCATAATTAGCCGATGTTTGGACAACATTATCTAATTATATGACCGGTGGCGGTAAATTTATTTGGTCACAAGTGCCGTCAGTGATGGAGCAATTGCCTATTAATTACTCCTATAATTTGAGTTCAACATCTCGAGTGTTGCGATGAAGGCTAAAATGACTGTTTATGACATTATAGTAACTAAGAGTATAGTTTAGGACATGTATAATCCATTTTTAATAATATATAAAAGGAATATTTCGAATATAAGACACAATAAGCACTAGAGTTTCAATAAACACATGGATTAAAAAAATACAACGATTAATATGATCAAAATACAAAAGCCAAAAAATGGGTTCATGATGTTATAAACAATGTTGCAACAAGAGTTGATATAACTTAAACTAAAATGCCAAATAGATACATATTAAAGAAACCCACAAAGATGCAATGCAAGGATAAAACATATATGGAGTAATTGTAAATTTATGACAACCACATAGAAGCTATAGAGTATCTAAATGGGTATTGTATCATAAAATGAATTGGAGAAGGTAAAGAAAATCATTTTTGATTAGTTGTACCTAGTTACTAAATTTATCCATGAAACTTTTAATACTTAAGTAATATAAGGTTCTAGGTCGTGCTAGAGCATGGGTTGATGGTCTAGTTACTAAATGATTTCAACTGCAGTTACCTATTAGACATAAAGGACCCCTGATTTCCCTAACTCACAAAGCTACGCCTTTGAGTACCATTTAAACCGTTAAGTGTACACCTTTGTGTTTTCTCAAAAAAGGTGTAACATCTACGTCATTGAGGTTCAAGTACACTTTATCTTAGGTTTAGATGTCTTTTCTTCTTATTTTGTTTTCTACATTAGTTAGTTTGAGAAAGGGTTTCTATGCAGATGTATGTCATGGTTGAGCGTTTTTAGTTTTAAGCATAGGTATAGGGATATGACCAAAGGGGTACTGGTGATACTGTAGCATGACTATGTCGCATGAAGTGGACATGGAACAATGCATTACTTTGTCCCATTGGGAAAAGATGAGTAAAAGATAAGGGTACCCTATGTCTCATTCAAGCAACAAGAGGCTAGTATTGGTGCTCGGTGCCTCCCTCGTGGTGTTCGTTGAACCTATTTTTTCTATGTGGTTCTCATATGCCCGCCTATCAATTTTTCCGTGCCATTGTTGATTTTATTCTTCCTTTTCTACCTTTTTCTTTTGGCACACATATACATTTTTTTTGTTATGTTATATATGCAAGAGCAATAAGAAGAAGTGTTAATCTTATGTTATTCTTCATCATCGTTGGTTGTTTCTCGTAGAAAGGAAGTATGTACCCTGTTTTCTTAAAGGGATTAGCTAACTCTTTCAGGATTGGTGTATATCATATTGTTATGTGTAATCGTATATATGCATGCATCACAATAATTGATATGTGTTGATCTCATTTAACTTATGCATATATATTCCTCTATGTACTTGAATTGATACACAAATTAAAAAGTATGCCTAACTTTAATCAGTAAAAAGTTGAGTATAGCAGTGATCGAAGCTTAACAAATCACCATGCATGACTACATAGAAAAGAAAATGTAGGAGCCAACACCCAGCAAGGTAACATAAATTAAATACGGATGGTGTCTGAGTGTTTGTACGTAATACCGTCATAACACAATACACATATGTATATGCAGTGCTACCCACTTGCGCTACAGCTAAACTTGATGTATCATTTCAAGTTTTGAACAGGGAGATGTGCAGACTCAAATGTCTCTAGAATTATGCACACACATATTTTAGCATATACTAATTTCATATGCTATCACTGCTTTGCTTCTTTTGAAGATGGAATGCATGGGCATTGACCTATGTTCTTTGTAGTGTATCTTAGAACAGAGGTTTAATTTCTCTGTGTACATATTTATAACCCAGAATTTGTCCCCTTTTATATATATTTTGTTAGTTTTTTCTGATATCACCTTCATGGATGTTCTCAAGACATTAACACATCATGTGTCTATTAATTAAAATCCTTCTCAAGAGCAAAGTGAAGTTATCAACAAAATTATTAGAAGTTTCGCAAGGAGATAATATATAGAACGAATTTGAGAATAGTCATGATAAAATCCGCACAGTGTTCAAATTTGGGATCTAACTACACATTCTTGATCACAGGACCCAACACTATATGCTTTTTTTTTGCGACCGTTGCCTAAGCATGTTTTCAACACTATATGTTCTTATTATACGAGGTACCTCAGTTTCTATCTAGTTCGTTCTGTTGTTTTCCTAAAATGAATCCAAAATACACATTCAGCTCAATATGATGTGCAGTTCCTCTAAAGTTCTCTTGTAAAGAAATGCATTTGAAATACGCATCTTGCTTGCTTGCAGTATGAGTACACACACTCTCACTTTAGTTTTTTCCCTCTCTTTCTTTCTCCCTTTCTTCTGTCTTTTCCTCTTTAAATGCTATAGAACCATCATATCTATTATAGGCCCACCTGATAGGCTGCTCTAGTGCAAAATTGTTTTTCTCCAGTTCATGCATGTACCGTGTGTACTAATTATTTTAGCAGCATGCTATCTGGTGCTTGTACCCGTCTTGCAAACAAGATACAATATAATATATATTTCCCTTGATTCCGTATAACCGCACATATAGTGTTAATATATGTTACATATCGCTTTTGTCTTTTTTGCCTTTTAGGAATACATATGTTGATGGTTGTGTGTTGCAAGTTGATCGTGTCATATGATTAGTTCTAGTTATAACAAGGCATCTTCTTGTACTAGCTCTTGTATCGTCTTGTTTTGCAAAAAAAAAAAGATGGGGATGCCCTGGCATAGGCTTGTGCTTTTTTTCAAGACTGTAATTACAGCCTAGCTAACTATAGCTTGATTTATTGGCAGCATGCATGAGAATAGCTCATCTGCATGAACAAAGGGTACTTGCATTGCAAGAGATGCCATGAAAAATTCGATATAATCTATATTATTACATCACCACCACATTGTAGAGATAACCTCATTGTAAAGAAAACTAGCTAGAAGAGGGCATCACGCGATACATATTATCAAATTTATGAAGGCAGCATTGATGCCCTAGAGTTTTGTACAAGCAAATCTGTATAATCTATCTAACTTAATGCATGCATATATGTATGCTGAGCTAGGTTGTTCCTTAATGTCAAGATTACATAGTTGTGAGAATGTCATTTACATGGAAATACATTGTACAGATAAACCAAAAAGGATTAATCATCAGTACAATACAAAGGTATATCAGACAGTTCCATTAACATGTTCCTCGATGATACAAATATACATGCCTCAGATCAATGAAAGCTTGTTTCCTCAGCATGCAAAATTACCAATTAAGTTACACATGCATTTACACCCATCTCAACAACACAATTACATGGAACATATATAGGTACATCTCCTCAAAATAGATAATCTTGGAGCATCATCCAACAAGTGATGCACCACAGTAAGATCATCCTGATCAATGACACATATATGCTATATATGTATCTCCGCCATTATATCTGCTCCAGCTAGCTTTACTTATTTTTTTAGCCATTGCACCGGTTAATAGTAATCGCCTGCTTTAATTTTAAATTTCACTGCAAGTTAATTAAGCACTGGATCGGATGGTTAATCATCAGTGAGCTAGTTACCCGTAGGACAGGTTCCTCGTCTGCTGGCCTCCGCCGATCACTGACGGGCTGCCACCCATGTGTGGCCGCCGCGGTGACGGCCTCTCGAGCTTGACGTCAAAGCCGCCCTTGCTCCCCGTGGAGTCGCCGGACATCATGGGCTTGGCATCGCCGTACACGTCGGCGATGGAGTCCATGACGTCGATGCCGGCGGCGTCCATCATCGGCGGCGCCATCTGGAGCTGGTCGACGATGCCCTTGCCGTCCTCGTCGTCGCCCCACATCATCGGGCTCTTGCCGTCGGCGTAAGGGCTGATGGGCCTTTTCTTGGCCAGCGACCCAATGTCGCAGCTGGCGAAGAAGGCCTCCATCGGCCGCTCCATCTGCTGCTGCAGGTCCAGGTGGCCGCCGCCGCCACCGCCGCCGTACATGTGCAGGTCTTGTAGCGAAGGGAAGCCCATGGACGGGCCCATGTCCTTGAGCGAGCAGACGTCCAGCATCGCCTGGTGGTGGTTACCTAGTAGGGATTTGTACCCTGCCGCTGGGCACGCAGCGACGTCGCCGGCGGCGATAGTCTGGTAGGCTTTCTCCAGGATGGACTGCATGTACTTCCCCTGGGCTTCGATCCTCATCTGGAGGTGCCTTTGCACCTGCATGTTCAGCAGTTCATGCATGCACCACTTGGTCAGCACAACATGCATGTGAAGGACATTACCAAGGTATATGGTAGCAGTGGCGGTAAGCTTCCTAAGAATGTTCATGATGGATGTGTAAAGTTAATGCATGCATGGTCATGAGTAACATGGTAAGGGCACAAAAAGTGGAGTTAAGTAAACTTCCTCGTATACTTCAAAAAGAAGATCTCAAGCTTCCTGAGAATTTCATGCATGTGCTTTAGGAGTAGTTTGCATTCTCGATTACCTCTAGTTGCTCATGTAGCCTTCTCTGAACTTCCATTTGCATCCTGATAGCCTCATTCATGTGCACGCTGCGGCTGAAATCATGCAAGATCCACAAAAGCAAACCGTCAGGAGCAAAAATATATCGGAGCGAGAAAAGCATAAATTTTGTTTCTAGAGATGGAAAAAAGAACTTTATTGGGATGATAGAGTGCGCATAAAGTAATTCTTCACATAGCTAGTTAGCTATTATGAAATAAACTTACTCGTTCATGCTTCTTCCCATCATGCCTGAAGAAGAGGCAGCGTTCCGTTGCATCTCCATTGCTGCGGCGGCTGCGTTAATTTGAAGAGATTAATTAATGTTAACTGTACGGTAGCCAGCATGCACATATGCAGCTACATAGGGAAGTGATGAACGAACACATAGGCTATATGAATGTGTATGTATTTACAGATGATAATATCCAAGCATATACAAATGGTAGCTAGGATGCAGGTTGAAAGGCAGGTGACCAGGTCAGTTGTTATTAGTAATATATATACTTGATTCTTCACAATTGAATTGCGAATCTTTGTATATATATAGTATAACTGTGCAGCAGGGAAATTTGATGTCTTGGCTTGTGAAGCTAGCTTGGCCTTACCATCCTTAACTGAGTGCTCGTTGAACTCCTTGTGCGGCTGCTTCCCTAACCTGAATTTCTGCCCACAATAAAAAAGATCAAACAAACAAACAAAGTTATATATATGTATCAGAAGCAGAAATATATATACAGGAAGGAAGTAGCAGGTAGCTGCAGAGGAAACCTAACCCTAACTACCTGAAGATGGCTCTTGAGGTGGTAGAGAGTAAGCCCCTTCACTCCCATGACCCTCATGATGGTCTTTGGAGTCGCCTCTGCGTGAGAGAAGAACGAAATCAGAACCAGAACGACCTGACAAAGCCAAAGGGGAGCTCGACTCGAGCTACGTGTACATACTGTCGGGGCCACCGAGCTGCGTGACGGCGTCGACGAAGCGCTCATGGAGCTCGACGGTCCACCGGAGGCGGGGCTTGGGGTCGGTGGTGAGGACGAGGCCCGACCCCGAGTCGCTCTGCACGCACATCGCCTGCCTATCATTTGAGCTCACGGCAGCAGCGGCAGCGGCAGCGGCGCTACTAGTGGCCTTCTTGGAAGGGAACATTCTATCTATTCTCCCTCTCCCACGCACCTCCTCTCCTTCTCTCTCTAGAGAGATCTCCCGATGGAATTAATTCTCTCTCCTCTCTCCGCAGCAGCAGCACAGGGTGTGGTGCGTGTGTGTACTGGTGTGGGATTGGGGACGAGAGATTCAAGAACAAGGAATAGGGTTCGCGGGGCGCGGAGAACGAGGACCAGGCCTTGCCCTTGTGTGCTGCTTCTGCTGCCTCGATTGCTAGCTTCTTCTTGTGTGCTGAGGAGGGCCGGGCTGGGGGTGGTTCCTTTCTTTCTCTAGCTTTCTCTCTCTTTGCCTTGGGGTCGCGTCGCGCGCTTTAGTTTCCTCTCGCTCCATCTTTTCTGTCTCCTCCCCGTCTCTCTTTCTTTCTTTCCATTTTGCTTTCTCTCTCTAGGAGTCTTCTCCTACACAAAGCTCATGGTGTGTGTGATATTCTATCCAGCTGCCCCAGGCCAGATCGGAGGAAAACAAAGCCACCCGCCGCCGTACCCAACTCGAAGGCTCCCCTCGATCTCTAGCTAGCTCCTTTAATTCAATTCTCGGCACAAAAGATGAGAGGCAAGTCTTTTTTGAAGTGTGTTATTAGTAGTACCCTTAGCATTACATAGTAACCGTGTATGGTTATTTATGCTTATTAGGGTTTGTTTGGTAGAGTTCTTCGAACAACTTCTAGGCTAAATCTAGGAGGAACTCTGCCAAACAATTATGTACTGACAAATGATTCTATATATGCTGATTCTATGAAGTGATTCTCTAAAATAAACTAGTGAGCTGAAGCTGACAAAAGTAGCATCTCCCGATTCACTCCACATATAGAGACGCCCTATGCATAGAGTTTATCCTAAAGAATCATTTTTCAGTCAAAGAATCACTTCTATAAAAAAATCAGCTTCCACATAAAATCTAAAGCAAGAGGAGCTCTAACAACAAACCCTTATAATCGACTTAGCTTATAATCAATGTGGTTTTTCGATTTCCAAAGTCCTGAAGCAGCGGTCATTAGAATATGATTATAAGAAAAAAAAACACGGCCATAGCCTATTTGGAGATAGAAAATCTGATAGAACCGTTAGATTCGACATGAACATCGCTAATGACATGTCAGGTGGCAAAAATACACATGCTAAAAGGGAGTGGAGGAGTGACCATTTAATATTTATCATGGTGCAAAGAGCCATGCACAATATATACTCCATCCAGTAAAAAATAGGACAAGCAAAATAAACTAATGAATGGAGCTTGGAGGCAGTGGCATAGCTAGGATTTATAGTTAAGGTAATGCATCCTTAAGTGAAGATGATCCATCTTAGATGTAAAGCCAAATTACAGGATAGTCCATGTGCAATCTTTATAATTTTAATTAACTTATCTACTACAGGTTAACCTTGAATTAAACTTTAGGGTGGTTCACGGCACACAGTGCCACCATTCTGGCTCCACCTATGTCAGGAGGAAGTATATATTTTCTATACCAATAAGTCTCCCTGATACGCTTCCTAGCTAATGTAATAATGTTTTTTATTCACACAATATGATAATGTATATAGGGTACACAATTGGTGTCACACGAGTAAACAAGAAATAAAAAATGTTGCTTTTTCATTCTTTTTTTTTATAAAAAAACTAAGAGTTGCAATAATATTAGTTAGTGAGAGAACCACTATATTAGAGTTGCTCCAAATCTTTACATCGACAAAATAAAGAAGTCGATCTTGCGCGATTTTGTCTTTGTATATGCCCCACACACATGGTAGGATTAGTACTACTTTTCATTGCTTCTCCTTTGGCGCTAGAAACAAGCAAGTTATCCACCTTTAGTTTGTACTACTAAGTGTGTCCATTCTCCGTCCCTTTTTGACCATGCTAGAAAAACAAATAGGCGCGCAGTTCAATATGTAAATATTGTTCTATAAAAATTAAATCTATGATATTTGCTGAAGGATATGGGCACTTTACCATCTTAAAACTATAAGGACCTACATGTTTCTTACTAACTATCATTAGAAACCGTTACGGAAAGAGGGGGTTGGGGTGTTGGCACTGCGCACACGCATAACTAGAGTACAAAAAGATGCCTACTTTGACCCCAGTCTTATTAGCTACTAAGGGCATGTACAACCCACAGACGGGGATCCGTCTCTAAACGCTTCGATTCTATTGTACAAACATGTATAAAGACAGGTCATACAACCCAACAGACGGGGCTCTGTCTCTAAACTGTTTAATGTTTTGCATGTAGCTAGGATCAACTATAAATAAATTTTTGCATACCATTGTGTGGCTATTTGATAGAAAATATATAATAAGGATAAATAAGAGCAACATGATTACAATATATTTTTTAGAAACCATCGATATAATAATTATGCTATACATAGTCGCAACGCCTTCTGTCTAATTTCCTTTGTTTCCATAGCGTTGCTATATGTGCTCGATTAGATCCTTCTTGAGTTTTCTATGTGTTGGCTAAGCTTTGATAGCGGAATTTCTAGTTCATTGCTTTTGGAGGGCGTAAATATTCTCTACCAAAACATTCAATCACTCCTTCGGTAAATTTTCCCAAGATGATCAAAGAGGGAGTGAGTTCACACAATGTAGACGGTGATCTCAGTTTTATGAGAACAAATAGCATTACAGATAGAAACATATTGGTAGCCTTTGTCAGATTCATTCATCAGAAAAATCAGCATCTAAGTGTCTCCTTGTGCTCATTGTCCTCTGCCTTTTTTGCTGAAAAGTTGAGAAACAAAGAGTGGAAAAGATGTTAGCAACATGGGCACTAAAATCAGCACACGACAGTGAAATCAACACATCATCATTCAGAAAAGTTTCAGGACATTCAGAAACTTAAACTGAACAAAAGTACAGAAATATCACCACCATCCATCCAGTTTAATTGAACAAAAAGTAAAACTAAAACTTAACAGTACAGAAATATCACCACCATCAATCCAGTTTATAATTGAAGAAAAGTTTAACAGAAACTTAACAGTACATAAATATCACCACCATCAATCCAGTTTATAATTGAAGAAAAGTTTAACTGAAACTTAACAGTACAGAAATATCACCACCATCCAGTTTTCAGAAACTTAACTGAACAAAAGTTTTAGGACATTCAGAAACTTAACAGTACAGAATCATCTGGCAAGGTAGATCATAGCATGGTAGATAAGCCCAAATAGTTCATCAGAGAAAGGAAACAGACTTCAATTCCTCTCCAAGCTCTCTTCAAGCCATCAGGTGTAAATCATGGAAAGGTAGAATAGATCCCCGAGGAAGGAAATCAATCGACCTGCTGCTCCACTCCACCGACTCCCTGACGGTTGCGGCCTCCGTCATGGCCGTGCTCAAGGTCTCCGCGGGGGCGCTCCTGGCCACGGCCGCGGTCACCATGGCCGCCGTCAACAGGGTCTAGCCGTCGCAGCTAGCCGAGGAGTAGCGCAACGCCACAACCGCGATAGTTCCTTCCCGCGCGTGGCCAAACCACAACCGCGCGCGCGAGCGCCCGGGATCCGCGCAGCGACGAGTCGAGGAGGCGGGCCGTACATCGCTGCTGGAGCCGTCTTCTCCGCCTCGGAGCACAGGACGTTCCCGTCGCCTCGCGAGGCGACGCCGACTCCATCTCTAGGCTCCTGCGGGTGTTTTCTGTAAAATTGCGTTGAAGGGACGGGGGTTAAGGGACCGTTGTACGTGCCCTAATACATAATTGAAGTGATGTAATGCTATGAGTGTATGTACATATATATATATTTGTTCTTATTTAGTGGACAACAAACTTGATTTCCAAAAAAAAGTAGCTCGATCGCGAATGACATTATTTTCTCTATGTCTCATACGATGAAATTGCTCGCAGGCAATATCCTTAACATATATATCTCTTTTGCCCTAGGTTCATGCTTGCTTTGCAGTGCAAGCATGGCTTTGTTTTACATTTCAACAAAGCTGCATCATGTGAATTGAGGTGAACATAATCGTATCATTAAACTGTCATGCATTTAATCATGCGCTGTTGATTACCTCAACAACTATCATGCAGAGGTAGATCCATGCAGGAGCTGATCGAAGGCGGCAACACTATCATATCTAAATGATTGCCCGTAGATTTTGTGGGAATAATTAGAAATGGACGCATGCATTTGCACAAAGACCCAACAAAAAGCACCGGTAGTTGGGCACGTAGACATGACAATATATATACTACCCAGCAGCATAAAAGCCTCATTTCTTGCAGGACGTTCTGGAGAGCTATGCGATATATATCATGGCATTGGTGCCCGTGTGGGCCACCTAGAAGTCATGAATCTTCCTTCTTTCTCTTCTTTACATTGCTGACCGGGACTTCTGCGAGGCAGCAGATGACTATAAGAACCCGACGAGTAACACACATAATGTGCGACATGAAGCTATAGCTAGCCAGGAATGGTGTTTTGATTTTTTTACATATATTGTTTTTATTACGTACTCCCTCCGTTCCAAATTATAAGTCGCTTTGATTTTTTTGATACATCAAATTTACTATGTATCTAGACATATGTTATGTCTATGCATAGCAAATTTGATGTACCAAAAGCAACTTAAATTTGGAACGGAGGAAGTATCTAGATACAATGTGTAGTAAACGTTATGTATCTAAAAATGTTAAAATATCTTATCATTTAGAATGGAATGAGTAATAAACAAGATACAAATTATCGACACCCCTCAACATACTCATGAAATATATACATATCTAGGTACTTCAATTTCATGGACAAGATACACCACTACATATACTCCATGGACATATACAAATAATGTGTTAGCGGTCTCTGATCATGTCCTCGCAATGGGGCTGGCAGCAGCGTGCCAATTTGGTGCCACACCGTGGCCGGATCCGGCATTTCCCCACCCTGTGTATAGATGGTCAAATGGACGACACGACCCAACATGGCATGTGCCCATTTAAGCACGTCCAATAGGCACGAATACCTTAACATGCCATGTTG